AAATGTTAACGATGTTAATAACGTTGATCATTCGTTAATCTTTTGTGACGCAGTAGGATTGACTTCATATGGTATCAACATATAAGATAAATTATTATAAATATTTTTTTTTTATATTTATTATATGTTATCTATTAATGGATAGCAGATATCTGATTGCATTTTTGATAAGCAAATTTAAATGTTTAGTAATAATAATAGGTGGTTTGATTTTCTAGTCCATAAGAATAAGGTATGAAAACTAGATATTTTATAATAAATAATATAAGAGAAGAAATAAAATAATCAAAGCTTTTTTTGAATAATATAGTATTGATATACTACTTTTATAATAACATTTTTAGTAAAAAAAGTCATGTAAACATAATGTGTTTACTAATTTATATAAAGAAATTATTTAGAAAGACCTATAATTATTAATAAAATAAAATAGAATGATGCTAGAGTATAAAAATAAATTTTTAAATTAATTAATAAATAGAAAATATGTATTTTTATTAATTTTTAATTTAAGTACTTAGTAAATTTTAAAATCCTATTATATAAGAAAGTATTTAGAATACCAATTTAATAATAAAATATATATTTTTACAAAAATTATTTTTTAAGATATAAATATTTTGGTATTTTTAAATAAATTAAATATTAGCTGATTGAGTTTATTATTTATTATCCCTTTAAGCAAATTTACTTGCAATTTTATTTAATAATTAAAATTGTTTATAATAATTTTAAATATTTTTAAAATAATTTATTTAAAAATTAATATTTTTATAATAAATTTTATGATATTTTCTAAGTAAAAATTTTAAAAAAAAAAAGATAAATATATGATAAATTATTATGAAAAAAAGTTAAAATTTTAAATTTATATATTTTACTATTTACTAATAATTATTTAATAGATCTTAATGAAATAAATCCAATAATTTAAATTTTAATTTCTTGTAATTATTTTTTTTAAAGATTTGATAATACTTAATTTTATTATAAAATTACAGATCCAGTAAGTTAATACATAAAAATTTCAAAAATGGATATTTATAATAGAAAAAAATAAAAAGAACTGCTTAAAACGTTCTTGGAAGTTAAAAATTTATTAGCTTTAAACCAATCAGTCTCCTGTCATATTTTAGAAATAATTATTAATAGAGTCTTTATCAATACACAATGATTAGATATTACTACATCCTTCTCTTTTACTTAATAATAATTCCTATCCTAAATTTAATTTTAATATAAAAACAAGTAACTTGAACTATTATTTAACTAAAAAAGAAGCTAATAAAAAAATTGACTCTAACAAGTTTCTAGCTAAAATTGCCTAATTAATTTTTAGTTACAGCAACCTTCCATAATAGGAGTGCTCAAATCATTAAGTTCTATCAGAGGTTCTACAGTACTTTTAAATTTTTATGCTAAAATGTCTATCAATTCAAATTATAGCTGCTAGCAATTATTATATAGAGTCTAAATTATAAAGTTGCGAGAAACTGAAAAATCTTGCTAAGATTAATAGGCTTTATGATATCAGAAATCTAAAAAGAGTATGTTTGTTTAAGAAGATAATTGAAAAATTATCATATATGTTTAGTTAATCTAAAGTTATTATTAATTCTGATTATTATTTGGGATAACCCCTGATGTTTACTTTTGTGAGCAAAAAAAAGAAGAAAAAATGGAAAAAATAGCTATAAAAAGTGGCAAAAAAAATATTTTAACAAAAAAACACTACCATTTGGACTAACAAAAACTATTTTTTGGAATAAGTGGGTTTGGGAAAAATAAAATAAGAAAGAAGTTTAAAAGGAAGTTTTATTTTTTGTTCGTAAGCTAAGCTATGACTGTCCTTGAACGTACACATTTTTATGTAAAAATTCTTGGTCGAAGATTACCAGCAAGAGTTATTATTTTTATTTTCTTGTAATTATTAGATAATAAGTTATTTTAAAAAATTGATAAATTGAAAGATTAATATATATTAATAATTATTTAATTTTAAAAATTTAAAAATACTATCATTAGATATATCTTAATATGACAAATCTAATAAACTTTATTTCATCTTTTTATAATCACTAGATTTTAAAATATTATAATTTTTACAATATTTATAACTAATTTATACCTATGCTTTAAGGGATAATAAAAGTAGTATATTAAAAAAATTGCAAGAAAAAATAAGTTATAAGCAACTTTTTTTGGATTATTTTTCTTTACTAAGATTTTAGTTGAACTTTGAAAGATTTAAAAAGGTATTAACTGAAATGATTTATAAATTTTAATCAAATGTTTGGATTGTACAGTTTATTACAAATGATGATATTAAATATTCTATTTAAAAAAGATTTTACTACTAATAAAAATAATGATTTAGATATTGCTTTATATACTTATATATATCATAATTTTAAAATATGACAATTATTATGTAAGTATATATTCATAGTGTTAAATAAGTATATTTGTAATAATGAGAAGAAAAATCAAGAAAATAAGCATATTAAATCTATTATTTCTCCAAATCAAGCTACTTTTCAAATTAAGAAAATGTTGAAACAAATAATAAAAATGCTGTAATTTTAAAAGAATACTATTATTTCAGAATGGAAGAATAAGAGAACAAGATATTTGAAGCCTTAGAGAAGCTCTTATACAAGCTACTCATATAGAATTTTGAGAGTATGTCACAAGTTGATGGTTATGATAAGTTCAACAAAATAATTTTAATTTTTCTTTAAGTAGAATATTATTTAATTTGTCATTTTGCTTGTATAAAAATAACTTGTAAAAGTAACTATTAGCATTAATTGTGATATATATTCTAATAAATGACATATTACTTTCGCTTATATGCAAAAATTTTTAATAATATTTTGTAAACTTACCCTATTGACCTTGTGAATTAACAATTCTCTTATAGATAAAAATTTACACTTTACATTAGTATTAAATTTTTCGGAAATATTTCTTTACTATAAAACATTACATTTAATGTATAAGTTTCTTTTTGAATCTATATCAATGGTCAAAAATTACCACATGTTAAGGAAGGACAGTAAATTTGACGCGGAAATTTTACTGAGTGAGTTTATTAAAATGTGATGTGACGTAAAATATTTCGACCAATCAGAAATCAAAATTTCATAAACCAATCAGAGACTGGAGGCGAAATTAGTGTACCCATATAAATTACCCAAATAAATGTCGATCAAAAAAAAAAAAAATAATTACAATATAAATTATATTAATAAATCCATTCATTCATTTTTTAAAATGTCTTCAGGTCAATATTACACAAAAAAGGATGCCTTATTCGTTAATTCAAGTGAAGGAAGTCTTACATTATCCTCCCACCAATATAATATCGGTAAACTTTTAATAAATTTTAGACCTAAATTTCATTTAAAAGATTGCAATAATTAAAATTATATAATAGAATATTCCTCCAATTTTATTCATTCATGGATTAAGTCTTGCGGCTTGGATTTGGGATAATTTTTGTCATTGGTTCTCGAATAAAGGACATGATTGTTACGCTATGAGGTAAATAAACTGTCACAAAGGCTTGATTAGAAATCTTTAATTTTTTTTTCAAAAATGATATCATAGTTTTCGAGGACATGGACAAAGTACAAAGACTTCAAAGAAAGATAAATGGTGGTCATTAAATGACATTACAAATGATGTATCACTTGTGACTGATGCAATAATTGCTAGAACTGGTGATAAACCTGTTCTCGTTGGGTAATTATTGTCAATATTTATAAAGTTTTTTTTTTTAATTTGGATATTAAATTCATTTCTCTTTGATTTGCTAGACATTCAATTGGAAGAGGAATTGTTCAAAATTATCTAAAAAAATAATCAACAGAAAGTGGCGGGTGTTGTCTTATTTGCCTCATTTTCACCGTACATCTACAAAAACAAGCGCCTTCAAATACACTCGTAAAATGCTTTCAAATACGCCAATTCTTGCTATCCTCAAAGCGCTATTTACATTAAAACCGTATGCATTTATTGGAACTCCTGAATTAATGAAAAGGTTTTCTTTTTCTAAGCATTTCCTGATGCTATGGCTAAGGATATTCATCCAAAACTAGAAAAGGTTAGTTTTATCACTGTTTGGATTGAACTTCTTAAACATTTTGTTGAACCTTCGAAAATTAAATGTCCTATGATTGTGATTGGTGCCGAGGAAGATAAACTTTTTGATTTAAAAATCATAACAAAAACTGCTGAAGCTTATGGTGTTGGTTTTGATATCATTTGAGGTGCGGCTCACAATATTATGTTGGACCTTACATGGGAGGATGCTGCTAGTGTAATTTTCGATAGAATCCAAGAAAAAGTTGTAAACAAGGATTAAAATTTCATACTCGAATATGCTTGATTTTTTTCGATAAGTATAATTGAGGTAGTTTAACTACATTTTCATCTATGATTTAACTAACTACAAATTAAATGTTATTAAAAAAGTATAATTCTGGATTAAATAAATTAATATTAATAAAATTTGGAAAAAAAATACTTGAGTTTTCTAATTTACGATTTTAGATGTTTTTATCAATTATTTAATTAATTCAATTAAATTAAATTTAATAAAAAATCTATAAATATAGCGATAATACCTAGTACGGAATTTCTAGGTCATAAACAGTTATTTGGTTGGAGCCATAAAGGAAGTGAATTCTGTAGATGTATTGTTCCTTATTTTTGCTAGGACTCGTACCAGTTGATATCCATTGAAGAGTCAGTGTCCCGAAACTAAAATTTTCATAGAACAAATAATTCATTTAAAGCTTCGATTGAAATTCTCTGCCTAATCGATTTTCATATTTAATTTAGTATGAGGATTCTGAGATTTAAAACATTAGAAATAAATATAACTTGTACGTTCAAGTTGATCATAATGTTTATTGAAGAAGCTAATCCCAAATATTTTCTTTAACTTGTTCCATTAACAAAATCTTTACAAATAAAAATTCTGTCTTTATAAAGTTGAATAAATTGTTTTAATCTTATCTATATATGGGGGCTAAGCTATTAAAATCACCTTACGGGATAAGAAATTGATTTTGAGTAAATAATGATTAAAAAAATGCT